GGGTCATATTTAATCCTCCCGGTCCTAGCACTGGGGCGCAGGTAAAAATATTCACGGGAGTCGAGAATTACCTATCGGCTGAACTCGTGTGGCACCAGGAGTCTATTTGCATCCCATGGTGATTCAATCGACACTGTCAAGTATAAAACACTTATTAGCCTGTATCTATCAGCAGGGTATATCCACTAAAAACAAAAACACCGCCTTTCATTTACTTACATCAGGGACGTATTATACGTCCCTGCTTACATGAAGAAGGCTGTCTACTCTAAACATCGTCGGTATCAGCTTGACCTGAGCGCCATCGTGATTACGCAGTGTGAAGTAATAAAGGAGCCGGAAATTGGAATAAAAATCAGGATTCTAGTGTAAGTGATTAAAAATGTTTCATCAAAAAAGAAGTTAAATATTTCTATGACATATATTTTTACATTAATTCATTAACAAATATGTCAATCATTAAAATATCATTAATTTCAATGTAAAAAGAATGAGAAATTGATGGTTTGTGTTTTTAATTAATTGAAAACAATGTTCAGAAAAAAGTGTTTCGAAACTAAGACAACTAATTTTTGGCAATATCTCATTAATTTGAAACATAAACATATTTTCTAAAATTGTTTTCAGTTATAAATTATGACTTCAACTAGTATTTTTTCCCATAAATTTTCATAATAAATGTTATAATTCTTCACATATGAGTCACATCTATTTTTTCCCAACTATAAGTACCTGGAAGTACGATTACTGGTCATTTACGGATACAGTACACGTGGTACAAGTGCAGTACACACATAAACTCTACTTGTACGGTTATTGATGGTCAAAGGTCGTGACGAGCCAGTTCTTCTTTCTTCACCCACGCCAAAATACAGCTTGTATCTCAAGACACTGATAATGTATTCTCTATGTAGGTATAAGTATTAAATAAATAAAAAAAACAGTAGACGTTCATATTATAACATTTTATGTAATCGTATTTCAATTTTACAAACATTTATTTACATGCACTCAATATTTATTTCTTTTTTCAACAACAATATTAACACACTACACATAATTGTGTATAAAAAACACACACAACGCATATTTGTTTATAAAGACTTAACGACTCATTAAAACAATCCTCGTCGTGTACCTGTCTGCTTTGAAACCGGGTTATTAAATGAGTACCCTGAACATTGTTGTCCCTTCCTACAGTTGGGCAGGCTGGCGTACAATCGCACAAACATAATGCCGACTTACTAGAAACTTTTCACGCACATTTTTAAGGATTAAAATTTCGGAACTTCTAAATTATTCGGCAGGAATAAATTCGCCTACACAAACTTAAGAGGCATTAATTTGATTAAGAATTCAGAATAAACGATATTCTCAAGTGATGTAAACAACGCGGTACATTTTCATTTTAAGGCCTGTATTTACAAGGCATCGCGATCTCCTGAACAGAAGAAACCAAATAAACATATACTTTATTATGCACAACGATAAGAGGAGGTTTTGGTGTGATCTGTTTCACCATTTCCTTACAAACATTATTCTCATTCCATGAAGGTTCAATTTGATGTAAATCCTACCGTATTAAGAACGGAAAGAATCGTCAAACATTTAAATCAGTTACAAGATTTGGGGAAGAAATCCAGTGATAGACTGGCGTCATAGGATACAAGTAGCTTTATTCAGAAAAATTGGCACTGTGTGGTTTTGTTTTGTTTTTGAGGTCAATCTTACTCGTTTCACATTTCTAAAATGCCTTTATCATGAACATAGTTGTGCTAGAGTTATCGCCCTTGACAAAACTTATGTCAAGTTGTAATTGGAAACAATATGCGAGGTAAAATGTAGCAATGAAAGATACATTGAATAATAACATTGGCAATGTTTACACAATTTGTATAATAACTACTGTTAATGGTAACTATGGTAATAATTTGTATTTATTGTTATTGATATAAAAAGTTTACAATATTAATTTTTTATTTATATATTTATTTTTATTGTTCGTTAACTCACTTGGGCAAATTCCCTTGCATAGCGGTTTATTTCAAAACAATGTCATCCTGATTTCCTTCGTTTACAGGAACTAAATATTGTTAAGAAGATATAGAATCAATAAATGGTATCAACGGTTTCACAAGCTACCTGCGTACCCTATCGAGTTTTGGATCTGACCCGGGGCCATGTGGTATCTTTGACAGTACAAGGGCAATTCTACTTTAAAGTGGATAATATAGAATAGTGAGAAATTAGAAAGTGATCCTTTCTCCTGAGATCCGAGTTCAAACTCGTTATAGAAACAGACACGATTACGAAAATTTGTGAAAACCCCCAATGTGCTCAAATATTAAATCGTTATAATTAAAGTTGTGCATCTGTTTTTTCATTATCTTTTAGTTTTACATTACAGGCTGGACATGCCATCAACCTGTAAACAGCATTTAAATTGTAATTATAGACTTCATTACGGATGATTTCGATTTCCAATTAAAAGTTTAAATATAACCAGAAGCATTTTTACTTCAGCGAGCAATAGACAATATAGTCGAACTTTGTTATCTCGAATCGTATATCTCGAAGTTTCCACTTGGCCCCGCCGAGTTCGAGATAACTCGATTTGGCTGTATTAAACATCTGAAAACTTTCAAGTACAAACTTGTACATATATAATATCTATATCAGCGACGTGATGATGATTTGAGCTGTCAAACAGAAACGAAAGGCCAACGTCGATAACGTATAAGCAAATTCTATGGCAATCCACACAGAACAGTTTTGACAGGAAGATAAATTTTGACACGAAGAAAAGTTCGGACTAGTTTACATCAATAACATTAAACTTATATATAAAATTTCTCAAAATATAAGCTTCCTATGATTCTGGTTTTATAGATCTAGACTACAACTTTGATCTGATTAAATACTATTTTCTATCTACATAAATGTATAAGTTCGCCATATTTTAAGTTCATAATGCACTTTACCTGTGCTGATGTGGTCACAGGACGGGGAAAAAGTTAGTAGCAAGGTATTTACGTAACATCAGAATGATATGATAATGTCCTTCAACATTATATGATAAACATTATATGATAAAGTAATGTCCATCAACATTATATGACAAAGTAATGTCCATCAACATTATATGATGAACATTATATGATGAACATTATATGATAAAGTAATGTCCATCAACATTATATGATAAAGTAATGTCCATCAACATTATATGACAAAGTAATGTCCATCAACATTATATGATGAACATTATATGATAAAGTAATGTCCATCAAAATTATATGATAAAGTAATGTCCATCAACATTATATAACAAAGTAATGTCCATCCAACATTATATAACAAAGTAATGTCCATCAACATTATATGATAAAGTAATGTCCATCAACATTATATAACAAAGTAATGTCCATCAACATAATATGATAAAGTAATGTCCATCATCATAATATGATAAAGTAATGTCCATCATCATTATATAACAAAGTAATGTCCATCAACATTATAAATACTGACAAGTCAATAACTACACAGGTGTATGTAGCTTTGAAATTAATCATCATAAATTTATAGACCTTTTCATCAAAGTTTTATTTATCGGAAACAGAATTCCTTTCTTTGCTTGTCAAATGAATTGAGAAAATTAAGGGCTAATTCTTTTGTAAAAACATTTCAATATTTGAAATGAATTATTGTGAAGATTTTCACGCTCACACAAATGCGGTTTATTCTTTCGTAACCGCAGAACATTTTCAATGAACAACATATATTAATTATGCTAATTACCGAGCAAATAACAAATTATCAGACAGCAAAGAAAGGTCATGACCTTTCATTTTCATCCTCTGTCTCTCTCTCTCTTTCTCTCTCTCTTGAAAGACTTTGATTAAAACATCTTGAACAACATTACATATAACATTGTATGTATATATATAGAACGAAATACCAAATTAGATACGAAAATGTGAGCTAAAAGAAAAGGAAAGTGGAAATAACTGTCTAATGTTTCTGTTCATGTATCGAAAGTGATGTGTACATAAATGTTAAAGAAAAAGTATATTTATGACCCGAAAACTATGATAAAGACTAATAGTGTCTTTTTATGAAAATTCGGTTTACTTTTTTCCGAAAAAAACCCAATATATTTAACTTTAATAACATACAATGAAATAAAACTAGCGAGAAAAGTAGAAAAAGAAACAACTATATCGCTGACTTCTTTGGAATTTTCGAAAAATGAATGATACTTTGATACAAGAATTATTAAAACTACACGTTTTCGCATTTAAACATTCTTTTAAAAAAGCTTACATTTATTTTGACGCAAGTGAAAACGATTTCACTTCAGTATTTTAGTTTCTTACTTAGATAAATATGAATACGGTGGACACTCAACAATCCGGACACCTTCGTTCGTAACCAAAATCGTCCCTATTACAAATGTTTTGGTCTGTAAAGTCGAGTTTAATCAACCGATCAATTAAACATGAACGATATCCACTAATTACATGATGACTTTTTAGAATGTCTATAGAGTATCTACTGAGAATACAGGACAGGAAATGTGTTTTCCGGACTATCGGTGTCCAGATTATTTGGCCTCCGGATTATTGCGAGTCTACTCTACACTATCAATAAAGAAAAAAAATCCTATGTATACTTCCAAAATTTTTCCTGTACTTTGTCTTTTGTTGTAGAAAACACTTGGTGCTAGATTGTTAATGCGAAATGTTAAAAAAATACCACAAAACTGGTACATACTTCTTGTATGAAACTGATATGTTAATGGGGTAATTGTTTTATAGAATTTCGACACACTAGTCTCCTCTACAGGAACTAATTACAGTATATTTTGATTAACGAAAAGTGATTTTTTTTGTCATTTCACAATTCTATTGTCCATCACTCTAACAGCATCCCTCTCCACACCCCCCCCCCCCTCCCCTCTCTCTATCTTTACATCACAAATGTATAATATGATATGATCACCCTATTGTTAATGGAATGGCGTTAATGAATAGAGGTTGAGCTGGTTTTTCCTCCACCTTTTCCTCGTCGTTCCCTGCCTTGTGCTCCACCTCCAGCTTTAAGCTCCCCGAGACCAAACTCCCGATTTTGGCGGGAGGTGTGTATTTCACCCAAGTCATGTCCCCTTGAGGAACCCACTCAAATCCTAACTCCCGCGTCTGATTAATGAGACAAGTATCGTGTGTAGGAATAAAGCCATAGGCAATGTCATTTTTAAGGAGGATCTTTCGTGTGAGATCGCGGAGGATGATATTAAAATACCCGTTTTTACGGTACTCGGGGCGAATATACAACATAGCCATTGATCCGTTATACTGCATACACATATAGGCACGTAGTGTTCCTTGTTCGTCAAGCAGACACGAGCTGTCGAATCGTTCAACAACGCTAAGGAAATAGCCCTCTATGTCCGTCCTTGACCACTCCCAGTCCTGTGCCATAATGGGCACGTGCTCCGGTCCGAGAGTAGACAGGCGCAAACCACTTGGCACTCTGAAAAGAACCCAAACAAATGTGAAATTAAAACAACGTTAATGGTCATTAAAGATTCCACAAACTGTTTGTCACAGACTGAGCATAAAAAAAACTTAGAAAGAGCTCGGAGATTTGTCTCTCAGATGTATGGTACCTGTCGATCCCTGCCGGGACCGTCATGTGCTTTCACAGTTGTGTCCATTGACAAGTACTTCTAAATTGTTATGGATAGTACGCATGACCAAGAATGTTCGTAAACATTCATAATTAGAAATAGCCTTGTCAAAGACCCGTTTCCTTATGGAGGGAATAAAGACCTTATAGAAAGTAGAGGTTGATAAAAAGTCCATGTTTTCTTACGGAGGAAGAATCAACAATACTTTATGCAGAATCCAAAAAGTAGACCAACAGTGGTCATAACAACGCAATATTATGGAAACTAGTAGGACTTAGCACAAATCAGACTGTCTGTACAGCTGTATCATGTAGTACGGATGGTTGTAACTAAATTCTAATGAATTAGCCACATGCACATGGACCTAAGAAATTCTTACGTGTGTAGACTCCCCGTCCCCTAAAGAAAGAAAGAACAAAAGAGTATGTTGCTACAAAGACGTGGGAATATGTCAAAATACTGCAAAATACTGTATTTTCGTAGGACTCAAATAAGTGGTTTTATTAACCAAACTCCGCCATAAATGCAGCCCTTTAAATGAAGATCTCTTTAACATTAATCTAATCGACTCTCCTTCTTGTGCATGTGGATATCCTTATGAAAATGCTCATCATTTCTTCTTTGCATGTGGTAGATATAACGACCAACGTCTGGTCATGTTCAGAAACCTTCATAAATATTTACCGTTAAGTTTAAATAAACTATCATTTGGCCATGAAGACTGCTAAAGTGATGATAATAATTTATATATGTGTAACAGTACATAGTGGGTACTCGCCGGTTTTAGATAGGTCACGTTCCATGTTCTTGTGTCTTTCTATGAAATCGCATAATTATTTCTTTCCAATTAGTTTAATTTGGTGTCTGAATTAGCATGGCTTGCGAGTATGCTTGTGTTGTGTGATAACTGATTTGGTTGGTGCGGTTAAATGTAAAATATAGCGTAGGATATATTTAAGATGTATTTTGTAAGAATGTATTTATTTAGCCATGAAATTTGAGTAAATCTCTCTCTCTCTAAATTAAAAATGATACGTTTATAATTATTTTGAGCCATCTTGAAATGTGTATATGTAATTGTTTTTCATCTAAAGGAAAGGGCGTTAATAATGTTATTTTATCTTGTGCCCAATCCTTTAGCTTAACGACAATAAAATGCGTTTAATTAATAAAGTCTTCCGAACATGCATCTTTCTGCTCGCTCTTGATTTCGTGATTAGACCTTGCTCACCATATCTTTTAGTACTAAACTCAATGTCATCATTTAAACGTTTATCATTTCGTTGTCATATGTATGCGAGGTTTCAGAGTACTCCTAATTTGTAGAGAATAAATTCCTCCCTAAAATTGTTTACAGTAAATCTGAAAGAAGTTCACTGTTTGCAGTAGGGAATCACACTTACATTGGAAAGAATATATCATCCCTTGATACCTATAAATATAATTTTACGACAGTACGTGAGGTTGAGAACGTGTCCTATATCTAATAACACAGACAACCGTGTATCCCTCTTGTAGTGTACAATGTTTGTGTCATGTTGTAACCCAGACAGGAGGATAAATTTCCCCGCGGGATGTAACACAAGAAATAAGGTCGTGACCACAGCACGCCATAGGTACCTGTACAGGTAGTCCGTAAACGAGTGATCATCTTGGCTTTAAATGTTCCAGATACAACGCGAAATCTGAACGTTTTCTACGTACGTATTGTGTATATTAGTATCATAAAAAATTCTCGTCGACTGACCTTGTACCTCTGGTTTTCAGGCAAAGTTAAGGATACGCTGTACATTGTTTCACAATACAAGGGGCAGATATTTCATATTTGTACTGGCTTTGCCAATGCGGGGGCATCGTCGTCGTCGTCGTCGACGACGACAACGACAACAACAACAACAACAACAACAACAACAACAACAGGAATCGTTTTTAACGGTTTACTACTTTTTTTCATGGGAACATGATTTTTACTTTAGCTTTGTTTTCCGGTAAATGAAAACGAGCGATGAATTGGTGTACCTCTCTTTGGGCCTTGCATGACGTAAAGGAGTCAGACAATTATGGTAAATTCTCAGTTGGGTAGATTCCCGTCTTTTGACAACCGTCTATCAAAGGCATTTCTACAACTCTGTCGTGTGAAATTAATCCAGCCATGATTAATCACCTCCGACCGGTCATTATGTCACAATATGCCCGATAAACGGTCCTAGTTGTGTTAACAGGATTATGATTGCTGAGATCAAACATTTCTCTATAAAGTCATAATGAAGTGAGAATTATCTATTTAGAATCTCAAACAAATTTTCAATTTAATTTCGCGTTTTGAGATTCGGTCACAATAATCGTGATACCTTGCAATTCACGTGTCAATTATAACTACCTTAATGCACTCTGGGAGATTGACCGTGGGGATTTGGACTATGCGTGATGTACCTGTGACATACAACACGACTTGTAAATAAATATTTAAAGTCGTATAATTGGTCATGTTATTCAATCAACCACCTGTTTACTGTACACGGAACCATCGACACTTCTTATTTGTTCTAGTCTATATTTAGAAAAAATGTGGAGGCGTTCGATAATGATGTTATGCTGGCAATGTCCGATACCTTTTCAAGCCGTTTTTTATTTCGAAATTGCTGCATCTGATTGCTCTAGACATTGTGTGCGTAAAGGTTTGAAAACCAACGACAAGATCATATTTCCTCTCCTCATTTTATCCGTATACGAGAGGAGCTGTCGTTTATTTAATAAAAGGTGTATTTTGGTATTTTCTGAAATTGACATTGACTTGTTGACAATATGCTACTGGTGTCATGAGGTCTCCCTTATCATGCTTTCTGAGGGCATTTCACTGAACAACAAACGGGAGGCTCGTCACAAGACATCATGAGAAATTAAGGTGAAGTGTCTTGCCCAAGGATAAATCATCTCCAAAAACAGAATCGTCCATTTCTCACTTTCCGAGCCGGAAAAACAAAACGGCATTTGTAGGGAGTGTAAAAATCACTAGTCCTCTCGGATAATGTTCAGCGAGGTAGCCATCCGATACAACAAGAAGATCCCACCTAAATTTGTGGTTACTGGTTGTTCTCAGGGCGATCAACCAAGCAAACATAGGTTTTCAACGATTCTAACTAACTAGACCAGCTAAATGTCCCAGAAATATCGACAATTGTAGATCTGATAAAATAGATAACCTGTTTTCTTATGACTATTTGTTGATCTAACTGTCTGTTTATTTATTTATTTTTCGTTCATATTAGCAAAGACAAATTTTGGTTTACCTTCAGAATTCCTATTACAGTCAAAGAATTTATATGCCCTAGGTGGATCCTAGCACAATTATACCAGCGATAATTATGGGACCTGGTCCTGGAGCCAGTGGTTTGTGAACAAAAATCAAATTGTTCCTATTCAAAATTTGATTTACACTTTCCCAAGAGAAGTATGGCTACGAAATTTTAAAACATTTTTTTTTTCAATTTTGTATAGTTCATTTTTTTTTTTTTTTTTTTACTAACCATAGTTATCTCTAACCATCTCTGGAGCAACCGGGGCCAGAAGTCCAATAGCTTTAGTCCTGTAGCCCATATTGTCGCCTGGAATGCCATCAGCTGGGTTTATTTAAATGATGACATATTGTATAGTAAATGCAATGGCATACTTACTCGGGTTGGTCCGGTGGTGACTGTTTGGTCCACGCGTACATAAACCTGGGTTCACAAGAGGAAAGTGTCCCCTTCTGCTTCCGCGTCATCTCGGTAAGAAGTAGAACTAGGTCATTGGGTACACCTATAACGTAACAAATTCAGAAATGGTAAAAAGAATTTCTGAAAGATGAAACGAGACCAGAATCACTTCAGGCTTAAATACAGTCTTACAGCTTTGTCCGAAAGTCAAATCAAATTATTATTTCGTCAGTAGATGAACTATAGGTCACTGTGCCCTTATCTCTGGGATTGGTTGGCTTTTGAGATAGTATGTGTTTAGATCCATCAGAATGTTTTTTTCTCAATATATTAAGAAAATCATCACCAAAGAAATGTTTGATATCAATTTTTTTATGTAAAAGCAATGCCGAGATATTAAAATTCAATAAACAAAAATCAAGAAATCCTAAATCGTATGGTTATACGTTTAGTCTACTCGATGTGTTCACGCATCTTGACACGTTTAATTCAAACGTTATCACAACAGAATTCCATTCTAGAGTCGTCAATGATATTTATCTTTGATTTATTTATCAAATGAAAACTTACACGTTAATTTAAACAGTAAAGGTAACGGAGATGTTGACCGCCATGGTTGTTTATTTTATCGTTCTTTTTCATCACAAAAGGCAAAACAGAGACTGTGACCTTTACTGAAGGTTATGCCATTTTTAGATTTTACATTTTTGTCATCACAAAATGGATCTTGTTCGTAAAATGTATTACGTCTTTCTGATCTAGGTCATGTTACACACTTTTGCTTACAATGTATTTTTTACCATTATATCGCAAACAAACACAGTGATGCAGTCAGTGGGCATTACTAAAGCGCATTTGTCGCTTAATCACATTCATCACGCATCCTGATCTAGTCGAAGCATTGTCACCTTGACATTGCAAAAAGAAGATTTTGAAGCAGATATCTTGGCTTTATACTGATATGGTAATTTTTAATGACGTTCAAAAGTTCAAAAGAAAGAAAGATAGAAAAAGTTTACTAGGCTTGTGCTGTGGAAGGAACACTTCACAAAACATATGTAAGAAAATAAAATAGTGATATAAATGTATTTATGGTCGTTTTTTTTGTTAACTTAATAATAAAGGTGCACATTGCCATGAAAATCGACACCTCGCTCACCTGTGAAAATCGCCGGTTTGCTCCAGTCGATGACGTCAGGACGTTGAATAAAGTATTTCAAGGTTGAGAGATTTTTTGTATAACAAATGTAGGTGTTTTCGAAGAATCTTTTCACCTGTAAATATTTTAAGGGTAGACTTCAGCGGCACACATCAGTGTTATTTCGTATACAGTTTCGCTTAACAATATCCATGTCAATGAGAGAAAAAAATCACTTCGAGTCAAAATGAAGCCTTGTGTAATAAGACATCATAGAAAGAAAAGATGTGGAGCGTGAATAAAGCACTGTAAAATTTCCACCAACCCCACAAGAGAAATACGTCACGCACTTTTGTGCTGATTTCTATATTTCAGGCAGTACTCAATTATATTTTTTATTCTTCAATGATTCGAAAAAAAACTGATTTCAGCTTTCAATATTTTTTTTTCAATTTCAATTAATTTTTTCACAATGCTTTAGTAAGATTTCACCCAAAAGACGATAAATTATGAAGCTTTATTATATTTAAGCAAAAAACTTCAACTAAACAGGAGAAGAAGATTTTAAATATTTGCTCCTTTATTTTCCCTAGTCTGACCCCTTCCCCGTGCTGTGAAGTCTTCTGTGTACAAAGAAAACAGTACATACAGAAATAATGGAGGGGTGGATAAGTGTGGGGAGGAACCGTTTAACCAGTAAACAAAATTTCGTTTACTTCACCCAAGGATCCTTCAAACAAACTTTTAAAATATTTCCCGTTCTTTGGGCCCCGCCCTCAAATTTTAGAGGACCGAAATCCATTGTTTATAAGGAATTGGTTCCCCTCCACGAGAACGTTTCAGACCAAATTGGAACAGAATAATAACATTCCTAAAGCAGATGAGAGAGATTTTAAAGAAGTTGTTCTATTTCTGCTATTTGGTCCGAAGAGGGGAGGGGACAGACCCACCGCTTATACAAAAATTGCTCCTCTTCACCCAAGGATGTTTCCAAATTTGGAGAAAACCCAATCATTCAAAAATTTGCTACATTTTCCCTTTTAGGCATCTCCTCTTTGGCCTCAAGGGTTCGTATATACTATTTTTACAAAACTGAGTTTCTTTCTCCAAGGATACTTCTGACCAAATTTGACCAAAAATTTGACGATTCGTTTATAATCAGTAGTGATTTGAAGAAAAGACGACGGACGCCGCCGTGTGCCGGAGATAGGAAAGAAGCCCATGTTAGGGATCCTATGTAATAAATAAATCAATCTCTGCTCTGGAATTTTAGTTCACATGTGGGCCGAGCGGGCTGTTGCCAAGATTTATCTCAAAGCAAGCCTCTCTTTTGTGCAAAATGAATTTTCAAATTAATATGTAATTAATTCATTGATAAATATCAACTGTACAAATAAGTTTTACAGTTAAAATCTGTTATGCTTTCATCGTTTTCAAACCAATGTTGACGTTTTTAACTTTTTGGCAGTATGTCGACGGATTTTGAATCATGTTGGCAATATATCATGGTTTAAGTATTCATAATATACATAATTCGGTACAAAGACTTCGATTTAAACGTATTTTTATTGCATTTCAAATGTAAAGAAATTGGGCACGAGTTATATAACTTATAAAAAGCCCTTTTTCTACTATGAGACATATATATATCAAGTAAATAAAACTCAAGGGGCATATCTACTTTACGTTATACTGTCATACAATCACACGCGTACGGAAATGTAGATATTGTAAAAAGTCTCGTTTATCGTGGTTTATATTCATGAAACTCCGATGTATTCCAAAAGTCTATCAGTGGTCACGTATCTAGATTATCCTAACAATTACCAGAATGTTAATCAAACACTTTACCTTATTTTCTGAATTAGGTCGGAGAAGGATACATGACCACTTCGGCCAATCATCCACCAGCAGTTCAATGCCCGGTAAATAGCCATTTAGAAGGTTACGTATCACGTAAAATATCTGAAATCAGATACAAAAGAATCCTTACATGAGGGCATAAAGAAATATTGTCATAACATGTATTCAAAACGTTGCTTTTATAAAATTAAACATTTCAGGAAGAACTCAGCAATCGGGAAAGTATCGATTATTCCCGATTTCATCCAGGTACAATAAAACTATTGAGTGCGAATTTCGAACGATTTCAGGGTAATCTAAATATACGCGTTTCCGTCAAGGTTCACAAAAAGGACAGACGGACACGATCTTATCCAAAATGGATTCCTTAAAATTATGACTAAAGTATTTAAAAAAACATCTCTATTTTGTGATATCGACAAAATACTATTTAAATATATATTATTTTTTTTTAGATATCACATTTAATTCCATTATGACATTCCGCCAATATTGATAAAGGTATTGAGGATGTAACTGAAAGTCATACCGACGTCGTTGGGCTGTCTAATTAAAACGTTATCTTTACCGGATATATTTTTTGTACCGACCTCCTGTATCAACATCGAAACATTACAAAGTGCACAGCATTACCATCAAGGGCGTTTGATGCGACAACAACATAATAACTTAAATGTGTAATTTCAAAAATGTGCAATCACAAAGTGTATATGTAAATGTTTTCATATAATTAAAAAAAATCTTACACCTCACCAAAATATCTCGGATCGTAAAATAGTTTTGAACCAAAGTCAAAGTTGTCGAAAACTTCGTGAACTGTATACTAGACATTGGCTATAGGACAGGCATAGCTAAGCGCAATATTGAATAATGTGTCTTCATTGAACAATTGCTATCTTTTATACACAATATTATTGTATATATTGAACAAAGTATTGTTATTGAAGTAAACGAACAAACAATGAATTCCTTATATGTGTCACACGAGTAACCATAATATCATATCGTTGTTCGAAATTTAGCTTCCTTTAGAGGCAGAATTGACCAAAATTATGGAATTGCTTTGACCTCTTGATCTCCCACCCCCTCTCCCCACCCTTACACCCCTCTCCCGCCTTTGTCTTCTTGTTTTTAGTTGTATTAAATTCACTTAACGCCTTACCCAACAAGGCCAATATTTATGTATAGATGAAATGTGTATCACAGGAGAGGCAGTTCATAATGTTGTACTAACTTGTGCCCAATTCTATTGTCTTTTCTTGGCAATAAAATATGTTTAAACTTTAACCTAAAAACTGTGTGAAATGTGTATACAGTTATGATTGATCGTGTTCCTGCAAGGCCTTGGCATAAACTAAATATAGATCTGAAATTTACTAGAACGCTGAGCCGTGAAGAAGGACAGATTGAAATACATGTTTCGTAAGCCAGAGCGATGTAACGTGATAGTTCACAAACGTGTATACCATGATCACTGGGACCTGAGTGTACATTTTGTCTTATTGAATAGGTCCAAACATTCGAAATTTCACCTACAAATTATCAGGACCCTAGGATTCATGCTAAGGCGGTCTTTAAAAATTATTTCAATTAAGTACTATAACACGTACATCGGGGGCGAGGGAGAGAAGAGAGAGAGGGAGGGACGAGGTCTGAGTATAATTCCATCAGATAGAAATAATATCTTATAAATGAATGAATGACCCTCAACCCCGCCCCTTCTGAGACGGTTTTAGGTGTTTTGAACCTGAAGACACCAATTATCAATTATTTACATATACAGAAACAGAAGAAATCTCCTAGCCCACATTGGTCGCCTCTGTGAATTCAATTTGTTAGAAAGTGTTGATTACATTCAAATAACCGTCCTGTTATGGGCCCTTTGTACAATTGTGTAACATATGGCGACATAATTACGTCATTAAACTAGGAAGGTATCACTGGTATGGTATGGATTTTCTCACTAAACGTAACCTACCAACAGCTGGTGGAATATGACGGACAATATTGTTGGACATGTGTAGGTGGGTTGTATATCCAGTTATACAATAAAACAAGAGACAGAAACCAAAATGCTAAAAATAGTCCATACACTGCACGTTATTTTTCTCAATTGTATCAAAATCTAGATACATTAGCCACGCACAGATGTAAAAATGTCCATTATGAAATATCATAAACGGGTTTACGTAGTACACAAGAAAGAACGGAGCTTCAATGAGCTACAAGCATCATGTGTATGTTTTATCTTTACTGACGGACATTTGACCCTGTATATCTTTCAAGTTTGCCTCTAAACATGCTGCACATTTCACTGAATTGAAGCATTCTTTTAAATATTTGGCATTGACTTTGAAAAAGAGAGGCGGACGAACAGACAGATAGAGGTAAATATTTGATGTACCCGCCATTTACTGGGTCTGAACTAAGATGAATGCAGCCAAGCTCAAATCGAATCCTTTACGCCGCGTTCTGTTTTGTTTTCTAATGGATCGAACTCCATTTCAATAAACTATCGAATTTGTACCCGGATATCCAGTTACACTCCGGGTCCACTTACATTTCTTTATGAAATCCCTTAATCCTGAAAACGACGAAACGAACAAGATAACTCTTCAAAGATGCTTCGTTTCGTCTTTAAGTATGTGTGTTTTGCATCACCGAGAAGTCACACACAAAACTTAGTTCGCGACAACTAAATATGTATGTTAATAGTGAAATTTGTCACTCAAGTGTAGAACATAATTTGTGTTAAATCTTAATGTGACCCGCTGGCTTATCAGACAGATAGTTTAATTGCGGTCACCTTAGTGTCAGAATCATGCCGTGAAACATTGGCTGGACATGCTCTCCACCATGGAGACATTAACTGGTCACGGTTTAATTGTAGATCAGTAGAAGACACTTTCCCTATCAGAATTAGATTATAATTGCTTTAGGATAAACTGTAAGATCACAGCAAATAGAGTCAGTCCTGGTGTGGCCGTGGAAGGAGTAACTTGTTAAGCTCGATACTCAGGCCATACATGTTATCATTGTTGTAACTTGTGTTAATACTCAACATTTGTACTTGAGAACGGTTGTTGCTGGTCTTTTGTATAACATAAGGAGAGTACAACATAGAGGGGTAACATATTCTGGTGGCAGCGGTAAAGGATCATTCTAAGGAGAAGGACTCCGTTATCAAAGATATAACGCTCATTAGAACTGTTTAATATGTCGACGCCTGAAGAAACGGAAACTGCGAAGATGACGGCAGCACAAACAAAGTTGGAAATAAGAAGACTCGAAATTCAAGCAGAGAAAGAGGAAAAAGAACGCCAAATGAATTTCGAAAGAGAAAGGATGACGATGGAAGTGGAAAGAGAAAAGATGAGAATGGACGCCGAAGAAAAGGAAAGAGAACATCAAAGGGAAGTGGAAAGAGAAAAGATAAGAATGGACGCTGAAGAAAAGGAAAGAGAACATCAAAGGAAAGTGAAAGAATTGGAACTAGAGATTGAAAAAGCAAAACTTCAAAAGGAACGGTGTGAGACAAATTCTAACCCTGTGCCGTTTAGACTGAAACTTCAACCTTATAATCATACTGAAAGTGAGGATATAGTGACATTCTTATCAGAGTTTACTGCTTTATCAACACAGGCTGGATGGACAGAAGAAGTAAAAATGCTACAGCTGAGATCCTTGTTAACAGGTGAGGCCAGAGAGGTAGCTATTCAAGCACATGGGTCATTTGAAGAACTTTGTAAAGCCCTAATGGACAGGTACGGGAAAAGGCCCTACCAATATTTCAAGCTATTACAGACAGCCCAAAGGGAACCTAAGGAAACATACAGAGGACTTATGGCAAGAATTGAACAATATCTTACTAGATTTGTGGACTCAGTAGAGGATGTCATGGAAAAATTCAAAGAGGAATATTTTCTTAGTGCATTGCCAGTGTCACAAGCACAATGGATACGCCGTAACAAAGGGTCAAGCAGTGTGGTTGAAGCCGCAGAGGATTATATTCTACCTGAACGGAATATAAACAAATCAACGCAAGGTAAAAGTATAAATGGAAAAACTTTTACCTCTGATCGGGACCAGAGAAAGGAGCAATCGACAGAGCAAATGAAAAGTGTGCAGTGTTACAATTGTAACAAGTACGGGCACTTCGCGAGGAAATGTCCAAAAAACAGAGAAGGTAAAAATCTTGCAGGATTTTTAGTGCGACAATACACGGGAGGACTTATCCATGTCCCAGGAGAGGTCAATGGCCGTGATATTAGTTTCGTGAAAGACACTGGGTCAGCGATGACCTTGATTAGGGAAGATCTGGTGGACCCAAGTTGTGTATTGGAGGGTCAGCGGGAGACGCTGTGTACAGCGACTGGACAGCCGTTTTCAGCCAAACTGGCTATCGTTGATATGGACACGCCATATTATAAGGGACATGCTCAGGTCGGATTAGTGCCTGACCTTGTCGCTGAAGCCCTGTTGGGGGTAGACATCATAGAGAGACAATCAAAGGCTGTGAATGTTGTTACGCGTGCACAACATCGTAATAACATTGCTGAAGAAAGGCTAGCTGAGGACAAGGCAAAGGAATGCCATGTAAAAGTTGGAATGGGCCCCGACACGGACCAAGTGGATGCCAGTAAGGGAAGTGATGTTGGACAGGCGAACGATGTGGACCTGGACCATGGCGATGGCGTTGGTGAGGACATTGACAACATCAGTGAGACTGTATCCCACAGCAATGGGGATGATACAGTTAACATCACAACAGAGGAACCGCTTGAACTTTCTGCTGTAAATGCTGAAGTGCTTAGTAAGCTTCAGCAGGAAGATCCAACTTTAGCCAACATTCGGAGAAAAGCTGCAAGTTCAGAGGAATCTGTGCTGGAAGATAGGAATGCCCTGTACTGGGAAAATGGGATTCTCCGTAGGAAATGGGAGTCTAGTGATGGAGCCCAACATGGAGTCCAGGTAGTACTACCAGAGGCACTACGTCTCAATATCATTAAATTGGGACATGATAGACCACTTGCGGGACATTTAGGGATAGAAAAGACCAAAGAGCGTGTCGTTAATTCGTTCTATTGGCCAGGAATTTTTAAGGACATACAGGAATACTGTAGTACTTGTAACGTATGTCAAAAGACCGCCAGAAGACGTGGTGACGAGAAAGCTCCATTAGGACAACCACCGATCATTAGTGAGCCATTTTACAAAATATCTATGGATGTTGTTGGGCCACTGTCTCGAACAAAGAAGGGGAACAGGTTTATTCTTACCGTTATGGATGACGCAACAAGGTACCCAGAGGCTTTTGCATTAAAGAATGTGGACGCAGAAACCATAGCTAACACATTGGTGGAACTGTTCAGTAGGGTAGGAGTGCCTCGTGTTATTCTGACAGACCAGGGCACAAATTTCACCTCAAAAATGATACAAGAACTCTACCGTGTGATGGGAATCAAGGGCATAACCACATCGCCATATCACCCACAGGCTAATGGGAAGGTAGAAAGATTTAACGCAACTCTCAAAGCTGTGTTAAAGAAACTCTGCACGTCAAATCAGGAAGCCTGGGACGAGCTTTTGCCATATGCATTGTTTGCATATAGGGAAGTACCCCATGAGGAAACGGGATTCTCACCATTTGAGATGCTATATGGATGGCCGGTCAGAGGACCATTACAGATTTTAGAGCAAGCCATGACAGGTGAAGGAGAGCTTAGAAAATCTGTCATTGACCATGTTGTTCAGATGAGAGAAAAGCTCGCAATGGTTAGAGAAACAGTACAGGAAAACCTGACAATCAAACGGCAAAAGATCAAAGAGTGGTACGACAGAAGCGCCACAAAACGGGAACTTCGACCTGGGGACGAGGTTCTACTATTACTACCATCAGACACATCAAAAATGGTCGCCCAATGGAAAGGACCATATAGGGTCATAAGGAAAGTCAACGACGTCAACTATGAGGTCAATGTTGGAGGACGTCGTAAACGAGTTGTTTATCATATCAACCTACTACGGAAGTACAATAGAGCTGTCCAAAACGTCATGTTTGTCGAAAAGGTTGACATCGCCGATTCTGATTTTGACGGTTCTAATTCAACATTGGAGGTAACACTGGATGTTACACTTGGCAAAATGTTAGATAAGTCACAGCGCCAAGAAATCCGTCAGCTTTGTCAAGAATACAGTGATGTCATAAATCCTAATCCAGGAAAAACATTGTTAGTTACGCACAGCCTGAGGACAACGTGTGAGAAACCAATCCGACAACAGCCATACAGAATTCCCCAAGCCAAAAAACAAGAGGTGAAGAAAATGTTGGATGAAATGATAGAGCGTGGTTATATAACACCTTCCTCAAGTCCATACTCATCTCCAATAGTTTTGGTGGAAAAGAAGGATACTACAACTCGGCTATGTGTGGATTACAGGAAACTCAACGACGTAACTGTATGTGACGGGTACCCAATACCCAGGGTGGACGAGATATTTGAAAAGCTAGGCAAAGCTCAATACCTCAGCACTATGGACCTAGCAAAGGGATACTGGCAGATACCTCTGTCTCCAGATTCACAGGAAAAGTCAGCTTTCGTAACTGAATTTGGACACTTCCAATTCAAGGTAATGCCTTTTGGTATGAAAACAGCGCCTGCTACATTTGCAAGAATGATGGACAGACTGTTAGCAGGAGTAGAACATGTGGTCGCTTACTTTGATGATATAGTGGTATACAGCGACACATGGAAGGAACACCTTGAACATATCAAGACTGTAT